CCCAGCATCTCCTTATCTATATCAGGATCACCTCCTCTGAGCACCCTGTTAAAACAGCAAACCCTGTTGCCAGCTCATCCCCCTATGTGGCTTTACTTTTTGCCCTAGTATGTACCACCTTCTGAATTTCTTATACTGGGTTTGAAAAATTGAATATTTCCTGCTATATCAGTAAACAAGAATGCAAGGATGTCATAGTCATCAGCCATTCCAGCTCTCCCAATGAGCCAGTGAGCCCTAAGGGAACTAAGGAAGGAGAAGACCTGCCATCTAGCAGCCATCACACTGCAGCCGCTTCCTAGGGTAAACCTTCAGAAAAGAAAGCATAGGATGTGAAAATACCGGAACTGGCCCCAGATAGCTGAGGTGCATATGAAAGGGATGATTTCAGTGAGCCCAGATCTTCCATGTTCCCATACATAGAAAAGAGCTATATTCCTTAATTGGGTTATCTGGCTTTCTTTAACTAACAATCATCTTTTAATGTTCAGACTACCTGCCCTTTGTTGCAAAACTTCCACATAACCTGGCTCCTCCCTTCGCCTCTTCAAAGCAGCTCTCCCAGAGTCACTTGAGATGCTATCTCCTGGGTTGCAAGTCCTAAAAATTTCCACCAAATGAAACATAACTCTCAACTTTTAGGTTGTGAGTACTTTTCAGTCGACCGGATTTTTCTGTACCAGTGTCCAGAAAAACCCGTACGAACTTTTTAGCCACCAATATTTTCACCCTCCTTGTACTGTTTCAGCTCCTTGAAGATGAGGTGTTTATGTGTTTGGCTCACTTCTGTATCCCAGGGCCTCTGACAAGGATATGATTGGTGGTTGCTGGTACCCAGAGTAGTTGAATAAAGAAATGAACAAAGTAATTTCACATAGTGACCAGAGCTCTAAATAAAGGAAAAGAGAACACGGGAATAGCATACGAGTGACAGGGCGGCTGTGGGAGGAGGCACTGATCGTGGGGAGTCCAGAAAGGCCTCAAGATGGTAGATTCCTGTGAGCTGAGACCTGAGTGACAAGAAGGTCCTGACGACCTGCACCCCAGGCCCATGAGGACCTGTACCCCAGTATGGAGGCCCAGGCTGGGACCCAAACAGGTGATGTCGCTGGAGGAGGCTGATGGAGGGGCCTTTAGGAGGCAGTCAGATGGTTGCAGGAAGGAAGCTGATTCTGACTCCACGTTGGAAACTGTTTCTTTGACTTGCTTTTCTTGCTTTTGTTATTATAATTATACTTACTGTCTTGCCTGGAGGACGCTGCCCACTCTGCCTGACTGTAAAGTGCCTTTGTTCAGCTCGTGGAGTGATGGTTTGTCCCTGCCCACCTGTGAATAGAAGAGATGAAAACACCCCTTCCGAAGGCTGGCCATTCCCTTGGAGATGTTTTGCAAGACTGTAGACCCTTTCCCTTTATTTCCCCACTGCCTCTCCCTCTCTGTTTTGCCTTTTGACTTTAGTTCCTCATTGCTTCTTTCTCTCTGGCTCTACAAAAGAACCTGGCATCCAGGCCCCAATAAGATGGTCATTTTGAGGCACTAGCCTGCCATCTTCTCGGTCTGCTGGCTCCCGGATTAAGGTCTCTTCCGTACCTCAATCCCTGGTCTCTCAGATTCATTGGCCTGTCGTGCGGTGAGCTGAGAGAGCTTGGACTTGATAACAAGATGAGCGGGTAGGAGCCAGGTCGGTGGAGGCTGGATTGGGCTGATCCTGGACTTGTTTGCGCTCAGATCCCATTCTTGCCTCTCCTGCTCTGGGTTACAGGGACTGGTCCTGATGGTTGGCTTTCCACTGGGCTCAGTCAAGAGGAAGCTCTGCTGGAAGCCTGGAGCAGAACTGGGCAAAGAGAAGCCAGGGTTTTTCTCTCCCTTGTGCTCTGCCCCAGCAGCTTCCCTTCCACAGCTCTAGCCCTGATGCCAACGTTTTGTGTGTGTGTGTGTGTGTCTGTGTGTGTGGTTCTAGCTTCAGTCAGGTGACCCAGGCTCCTAAACTCTAAAACAGTCCCGGATGTTACCAATCTTCCTGCTGAGCTAATCTCTGGGCTCCCCCAGGGTTGCTTCTTAGCCTCTTCCTTCACCTATGTAACCAACTCCCTACATTACAGCCATAAAGTAGTTTCTGTTTTGCTCGAAGGTCACTGGCTGATTCGTTTGGGAAAACAAACATGGGTTCCAGTAGGGAAGAGCAACCAGGAGGATGCCTGGAGAAATCCAAGGGCATGTGAACATGCTACTACATTACAGGCTCACACTCGGCGTCTCTGGGATGGGGAAGCTAGATCTGATTAGTGGAAATTATAGGGAGCTTCCTTGGGCCCAGAGCAGTTCCTAACAATACAACTGTAGGGAGAGAAAAGGGCTCGAGCAGAGATGCTGCATCCTGTATGCCAAGGAACAAGATGCCTCAGGAAGGGGGTGATATTCTAAGGGCTTAGCAGGGCCTCTTCTAACCCGGAGACCTGGTGACATGGTGTGACACAGATATTGCACAGCTTACACAGATTTTCACACCTGTATCACTTTTAGTTTCAACACAGTCCTACCTAGGAGGTAGGCTGGTATGTTACTGATGTGGAAATTAAGATTCAGATGGTTTGTGGAAATGTCCTGTTTGGGTTGCTCTGTAACCAAAGCCCACCCTGTTGAAGAAGTGCAGGGCTGAGAACCTGGCACAGTCACAGAGGGGAGGGATAGCCTGGTGGCTCCGGGACACAGGGCCCACACCTGAATCTTGGCTCTGCCACCTACGGTGTGACACTGAGCAAGGCACGTAAGGTCTGTGCGGTTCAGTTTCATCCTTTGTAAAATGTGTGATAACAGCAGCTCTTAGTACAAAGAGTGGGATTCCCTCATAGCTCAGTCGGTAAAGAATCTGCCTGCAATGCCAGAAACTCTGGTTTAATTCCTGGGTCTGGAAGATGCCCTGGAGAAGAAAATGGCAACCAACTCCAGTCTTCTTGCCTGAGAAACCCCATGGACAGAGGAGCTTCATAGAGTTACAGTGAGGATTAAATCAGCTAATAGCCGTAAAAGTGCTTGGTACACAGCAAGCCCATCTTTGGTGGCCAGTTCTCCCAACCACCAAATGTTGGCACGCCCCAAGAACTCAGTCCTCGGTCCTGCCTCCTTTCCGTCTACATGCCCTTCCTGATGATCTCATCCATTCCGTGGCTTTAAATACAAACTAAATGCCAAGAGTTCCAAAGTTTCTCTCTCTAGCCTGAGCTCTCCCTCCAATTCCAGACTCATACAGCCAACTGTCTATTTGAGACTTCCACCTGGCTGTCTAAGTGTTCTCAGAGTGAACACGCCTGATCTTGATCTTCACCCAAACCCGTTCCTCCTACCGTCTCTCCTTATCTCAGTAAGTGGCGACTCCATCCTTCTGCTGCCCAGGCCAAAAACCCCCGGGGTCATTCTTGGCTCCTCTCTGTCTCTCAGACCCCATGTCTTATCTGTCAGCAAATCCTGTGAGCCACACATGCAAAACAAATCTGTGATCCACCCACTTCTCATCACCTCCCTTGCTATGGACAGACCGGGGCCAAATCACCATCATCTCTCACCTGGATTATAACAGTAGCTCCCACTTCTGTCTCTTCTCCACACAGGACAGCCAAAGTCATTCCATGAACATTTTAACTCATTCCTCTCTTCCATTCACTCAGCCTAAAACCCAAAGTCATTAAAGAAAGAATAAGCTGTGAGGCCCCACATGATCTGCCCCTTGCCTCCAGCCCCCTATACCCCCTTACCCCCTGAACTCACCTCCTACCCTTCTTCCCCCTTTGCTGTTCCTCCAACAAGCAGGACACTCTCCTTCCTCAGCATTTCTGCTGTTTTTCCTTTGCAAGGATTGCTCCCCGCACCTCCAGGCTGCCTCCCTCATTCCCCAAAGTGTGTATGTGCATTAGTTGCTCAGCTGTGTCCAACTCTTTGCGACCCCATGGACTGTAGCCCGCCAGGCTCCTCTGTCCATGGGATTCTCCAGGCAAGAATACTGGAGTGGGTTGCCATTTCTATTATTACACAAAGTATAACCTACTGATTAAAACAAGAACCCACAAATCAACACTGATATCAGTTATGTCTGACTCTTTGCGACCCCATGGACTGTAGCCCGCCAGGCTCCTCTGTCCATGGGATTCTCCAGGCAAGAATACTGGAGTGGGTTGCCATTTCTTTCTCCAGGGGATCTTCCCCATCCAGGGATTGAACCTGGGTCTCTTGCATTGCAGGCAGATTCTTTACCATCTGAGCATATTTCCTCTAGACGTTTATACAAATACCGTCTTCCCTGGGGCTTTCTCCCTGTCAGCCTATTTAAAATTCCAATTCCCAATGCTCTCTATTCTGTTGCCCATTTCCCCCCCTTCCTAGCATTCATCACCACCTAACACGCTACTTTTGTCTATTTCACCCATAGAACGTAGCCTCTGTTGGGCGTGGATCTGCCTTCTTCAGTGACCTGGTAGGTGGAGACCCTCAAAAAGCATTTGCTGAATCAACGAAGAAATAAATCCTTGCACAAATGTTAGCCATTATTATTTCGGGGTATGTCTTTGATGTGCCCAACCTTTGCAAAAATCCATCGGAGATCCGAAATTTAAACACAACTAGGAAGGAAAAAAAAATCAGCCCAAACTAAAAATGAATTAAGAAAGTTGGGGTCCTAGGTTATAAATACATCTTCCTAGGTGCTGGAATGCTGGGCTGGGTCAACTCTGTAATCTAAACACAAGGCACTGCTATGACACGTGCCACTCTTTGAAGAAATTTTCAGTCTGTAGTTTGTAGACCCCAGCATCCCAACTCCAAGTTTCCGGTCTCGGGGTCCGGGTGGCGGAGCGCGGGACGCCGCGAACGGCAGGCACGGAGTCCGGCTCCCGGTTCCAGGCTCCCGGGCCTCCAAGCGCTGGGCCGGCGCGCGGGGGGCGGGGCTCCGGGACCGCGGGGCGGGCGCGCTNGACACATTTTTTATTCACAGTCAGTACAGGAAACGGAGAAACTTTTTTGTTTACAGTGTGAGCATCAGCTAGGGACAGACACGTCCTCCTTCGGGGGTAGGGGCGGGTAGGGGCGGGTGGGAGAGAGGGCAGCAAGGCCTGCTCCCTGGGCTAGGCGGGCGTAGGGGCAGGCCCAGGGGTGCTCCAGGCTTTCCCTGCTCTCCTGTCTCCCGGCCTCCCTATCTCGGGACTCCTCAAACTGGCTTTTAGTGCCTGTGCTCTTGAGGCTGGACCAGAGCTGGGGGAGAAGGCAGAGGAGGAGGTCAGAGGTTAGAAACAGAAACATCCCACCCCTAGACACAGCCCCCGGTGGCCTGTCCCACCCCGAAGTGTCCCAGATACTGCTCACAGTCACCTGACCGTTAGGGTTGGCGGGGCCCAGTGTGGTGGCTGTGGAGCCTGGGAACAGGGTGCTCTCCAGGAGAAGGGCCATGGGGTCTGGAATTAGGTCAGGGGATGGGGAAGACTTAGGTGGGGGAATCAGGGAAGGATAGCGTTTCAGAGTAGATAGGAATCAACCTCCTGCTTTTATACTGTGAGCAAACGGAGGCATGCCACCAGATAGTGGTAGAAGAAGGAAGGAACCTAATATTCTCTTGTTAAAACTCTCTGCTGTGGGCTCCCTAACCCGCAAGTCAAGTAGCCTTAGCGTGCCTAGGTTCCCAAGAGGGACTTAGAAACCTGGGCCCCGGGCAGTGGTGCTAGTTTGGATATCACTGTACATAGAGGTTGGTTAGAAGCCTGAGTCACTGAGAACGGGAATGGAGGGTGACAGAGATGTGGCAGCATGTTAAAGGACCCCGTTTGGAGCAGCAGGGAACCAGGAAATCTGTGCAGGGAAGAGTTAGCATAGATAGGCCCACTTGCAAGAGTGGCTCTTGGCTCGGTGTCTGGATTTCCAGGGTGTTCCACACCTCCCTAACAGCTAAATGGGGCTCAGTCTGGGCTCTTTGTACAAACTGTGTGTCCCTGTTGAACAGTGCTGGGCAGAGAGGGCTTGCAAGGCGGGCCCCCAGCAAAGACCTTGGGCTCTGAAGCTCTCCGGGGCTTCCCTGGGTAGAAACATCATACATGTGTTGCTACATTTTGTTGCGGGGCGGGGGGGAGGAATGTGCTCTGTTGACCCCCTCTTGGGAGGGTGAGAGCCTAAGAAAGCCCACAGGTGGATTCCTCTAGGCTCCTCCTGTGTCTTTTCCCCTTAAGATCCAGCTGTATATCCTCGCTGCATTGCTGTAATAAACTAGCTCTGAGTCCGACTCTGCCAAATTCTCTGAGTCCTTCTAGTGAATCTCCAAATCTAAGGGTGATCCTAGGGAGCCCCAGCACAGAACCCAAGGGCAGAAAGAGTTCTAAGTGGTGGTCATGTCCAGCAGCCATGCCTAGGCTACAAGAAAAAGACCCTTGTTTTTTTTTTATGCGGGTATCATTGATGGATGCTCAGCAGTGGGAAGGAGAGAGTGAAGCTTGAGATGGAAGCAGGTTAAGGAAAAAATTGTTGCAGGGTGTGGAGCCCAGAGGATGTCTGTAGTAAGAGGGGAAAGAGGCAATTCAGTGCAGCTGGTTTTAACCGCCTTGTGCTGAGGTTTGCCCTGGGTGGTTCTGGTTTATGCCTGTTGTCCTCGGATAATTATTAATAGCATCCCCTTTCACTCTCAGAAGTGTTAACTGTTTGTTAATGCTCATTAGAGCATTAGAGCTTTGAATCATATCTGAGTTTGAGTCCCTTTGAGCAAATAGCTAAAGTCTCAATTTTTCTTTTTTTTAATCTGTGATACTTGTTATCAGTCAGGGTTCCACCAGAAGCAGAACCGGTTAAAAAAATTTTATATCTATGTATGTGTGTGTATATATTGTATATATATATTGGCTGCACCACGTGGCATGCACGATCTTAGTGCCCCCTGCAGTGGAAGCTTGGATTCTTAACCACTGACCACCAGGAAGTCCCTATGTGGGTATATATGTGTGTGTGTGTATATATATATATATATATATATTTTTTTTTTTTTTTTTTTTTTTTAATTGCAAGAATTGGTTTATGTGATCATGCAGGCTGGCTAGGTAAGTCTGAAATGAGTAGGTCAGGCTGTCAGGAAGGGCTGGCGAGAAACCTCTGGGCAGGAACAGATGCTGCAGCCCACTGGTGGTATATGTCTTCCTTCTCAGGGAAACCTCAAAGGCTGTTAAGGCCTTTCAACTGATAGTATCAGGCTCACCTAGATTATCCAGGGTAATCTGTACACAAAGCCAGTTGTAGATATTAATTGAATCTACATAATACCTCTGTACAATACCTAGATAAGTGCTGAGTAAGGATACTGTCACCAATCCAAATTGACACATAAAACTGACCATCATACTGGCTGTAATAAGAGTTCCTACTCTCTGTGGGGGTTTTGTGAGAATTAAATGAGGTGGTGCTGTGCAAAGTGCTTAGCCGAGGCCTGGAGTAGTCTTAGCACATTAAACCTTAGGCAATCTTAGCTGGTATTAATATTATTTTTATTAGTTTATTATTAAAGATACAAATAAGAGGCAGTATAACAGACCCATAATCCTCTTATATAGTTCAGAAACCGAAGAAAAGAAGCTTTGAAAAGTAGGCTTTTTAAATATCATTTGACAGCAAAACCCCACCTGATCTGAACACCTTTGGTAATGGAACCGTGTTGGAGCTATGCAATTCTATTTATAGACTTTATTTATCCTACTTAGTGTGAATATTCACGTTTATGCTTTACTGTGAAATACTGATAGCCTTGATGATGGGGTGCTTCCTCAGACCCCCTGTAGGTGTTCCTATATGAGCCCTAAGATACCTTTCTAAAATCTGACAAATTCTGAATTCCAAAACACATCTGACCCCTAAGAGTCTGTGCTGTGGGATTGTGGACCTTGTATAACAAGTTATTCTGAAGTACCTAGCGATGAGATCTCATTTGTATGACAATTCTTTTGGATGAGAGCCAGGGCAGACCCTCCTGTCCCAGATTCTGCACTGTGATTTGTGCTGAGAGCTCGGACTCCCGGCAGGGAGCTGCACAGAAGCTTCGATGGACGCTTTGATTGGAGATCACGAAACACAGGGGTCCCGGCTGCGGGTGTCTTTCACAGAGCCTACTGTGTTCTGGGGGCTTCCCAAGTGCTGCTAGTGGTAAAAAAAAAAACAAAAAAAAAAAAACCGGCCTGCCAACGCAGGAAATGCAAGAGATGCGGGTTCGATCCCTGGGTCAGGAAGATCCCCTGGAGGAGGGCATGCAATATACTCCAATATTCTTGCCTGGAGAATCCTCATGGACAGAGGAGCCTGGTGGGCTACAGTCCAAAGGGGCGCAAAGAGTGGGACACAACTAATGTGACTTAGCATGTTCCATTTTTCCAGATTCCATGTATATGTTAATATACAGTATTTGTTTTTAATTTAAAATTTCTCCAGAGTCCTTAACTGTCACTTAGGAACTACATTTTATTTTCTGTCCTTCCTGTTGAATACCCACAAAGAGAGCAAAAAGTAAAATATAAAACCCATGGCTACAGCTGCAAGGAAATGGCATTGCTTGTATATTTCTAGCACCATAGATGACTTTTTGAAGGACAAGCTGGTAAAACATAAAAAGTGATTGTGTTGTTCATCTGCTCAGGCCCCAGAATTTAATATATTGAAATAGGCCTCAAAGAAATAACTCAACACATTAGATAGTAATTTGAAACGTATTCATAATGCTGCCATTTATGGTGCTAAGGAATTGGAAACCATCCAGATATGCCAAAATAGAAGAATAATAAACAGGTACAGCATCACTAAAATAAGATAGAGCTGCTTAAGTGACAGATATTTTGGTTATTTCAACACATGACAATGTTTGTATGAACCAATATTACTTATGAGAAGCAAAACATACAATAGATCATTTGCACTGATTACATCCATATGTGGTGAAAATGAAAGGAAATTTGAACCAATTTAAGTAACTCCTTCAATATTCTTTTGATTTTTTATCTGTATAGAGCTGCTTCAGCTCCTGATTTTTCTTTAAAAGAAAGATATTGCCATAGACTTGTCATGAAGGTTCGTAACTTTCCCCAGGTTTTGTGAGTGGGCGCGATTCTGCAGGTAGGGTCATATGCTGGCTGAGGACTGGCTGACAGCGGCTGCTTTGTAACTTCACCCACCGCCCCCTGCACTGCCCATGATGGGAAGAGATTTTACTAACTTGAGCCAAAAGAGCAGGGCTCTCTGCTTCCTCCTCACACCTTCCCTCTTGCTTTCTAGGAAGATCAGCCCATCTACATGGCAGTCAAGGGGGTGGTGTTCGATGTCACTTCTGGAAAGGGTAAGTGGCTTGGTTTCATGAACCCTTACCTCTGGGGGCGGGGGGCGTGGTGGCCAGAGTGGGCGCTCTAGGTGTGAGGGAGCAGAGGGAACACCGGGCAAGTCCTTTCCCTCCAGAGTGAGTTCGTAATTTTTATTTTTTTTCTTTTTGGCTGTGCTGTGCGGCCTGCAAAATCTCAGTTCCCCATCCAGGGATCAAACCCTCGCTGGACTGCCCGGGAAGTCTCTGAGTTCACCGTCTTTGTCAGGGCTGTCCTTCAGCAGTGTTTTTCTAATATCATGCTCCTGCTCAAAAATCTTCTATGGCTCCCTGTTGCCTATACAGTCAGAGTCAAACTGACTCTGGATGATTTGCCTTAGTAAAAAAACCCTTTACTTAGCAAAGGGTTGAGATCATAGAACATTGTAGAACTTTTTAATGCCCTTCTGTGTTTTCCTGATGGAAACTATAGCTGATATCGTGGAAGCTGTCTTGTAAGGGTTCGCTGTTTATTTGATACCAAACCAAAGACGTAGGGAAATAGACTTGGTTTCAGTGAGCATTTAGGCAGACAGGACACTCCTCTTGTTTACATTTTAGATATTTTTAAGAGATTGTTTTCATTCTGTATGTTTTAAAAAGTCACCTCTTGGCCCAGCATGTATGACTTATTCATTACTCTGAACTGGGGGACTCAAGCAGATAGCTAGGGTGGCCTGTTGGACTTCCCCTCCTCACTGCCGTCCCTCCCCCCAGGCCAGAGTCTTTCCAGGATTTGGGGGGGTGGTCTCGGAAGCCCTCCTAGCTGCTCTGTGCACACCCACTCATATCCTCTTTTGTCCTCCGCACTGCAGAGTTTTATGGACGAGGAGCCCCCTACAACGCCTTGACCGGGAAGGACTCCACCAGAGGGGTGGCCAAGATGTCCCTGGACCCTGCAGACCTCACCTATGACACTGTGAGCCAGATTCTGAGCCTCTGTCAGAGTGCCCCACCTCCTTGGCCAAGGCCTTCCCCCTTACACACACACACACACACCCACACACACCCCTGGGCAATAGCAAAGCTTCCTAACTAGTTTGTTTACATTCCAGTCCACTCCGTGTGATAGCCGGTTGTTTTCTTAAAGTAGAGATCTCACTGGTAAAGCTCAAAAGTCCTCCATGGCTCCCCACTGGCTGCAGAGTCAAGGCCAGACTCCTGGGCACTTGTGATCAAGCTCAGTGATCCTCACAGCCTGGCTCCCGCCTGCCTTGGCAGGGCCGTCCCCCTCACAGTCTGCCCCTGCCACCCCCAGCCCCTGGGTGTTTTGCTCTTCGTCTCCGAGACCCACTTCCCAAGCCACTCCTGGTCGCTCGGGATGAAGCAGAGGCTCCCCTGTGCTCATATTTCTGTGAAGGAGACAACAGCCTTAACAAAGACCATTTCAGGATCATCCCAGTCATCCCAACAGAAAGGCTGGCATTCACTCCTGTGTCGCTCAGATGAGTCAGACCTGAGCAACAACATTATAAAAGCAAATTAAGAAATTACAGAGCGGGGAGGGTGTGCAGATCTATAATGGGGGGAGGGGAGAGAGCGGTGGGAGTCACTGGGGGAGGCGGTGGCTGCAGACCGCACACGGCTGCCCCCTGCACCGCCTGGGAACTCTCTGCACCCTTTCATTCCCACATCAGTCAAACCCCGCAACCTGATGTGGCCCCTGCTTTCCCCATCTCCTCCCCCCGCAACACTCATGAGCACAAAGGGTGCCCTCTTAAAAAGTCAGCTGTCCGTGATTTGATTTTCAAGAGATTTTTTTTTTTCTCTTGCCTGAAGGATATGGGGAGAATAAGGCAGGGAGGAGGTATGAGAGGCCGGGGCCAAGTCCAGTTCATTCATTCCTAACCCTGGGTTTCTCGGGCTTTTCTCCCCAAGACGGGCCTCACGGCCGAGGAGCTGGAATCCCTGGATGAGGTCTTCACCAGAGTGTACAAAGCCAAGTACCCGATTGTCGGCTACACGGCCCGAAGAATCCTCAATGAGGATGGCAGCCCCAACCTGGACTTCAAGCCTGAAGACCAGCCCCACTTTGACATAAAGGACGAGTTCTGATCGGCAGGAGCTTGGCCCTGCGAAGGGGAGGCGGGGAGACCCTCCAACACAAGATCTTCTGCAAAACAGGCAGTCGGAGCCCCGGGTCACCACCGGCTCTGAATAAAGCACACGTTTCACCTGGAATGCTGAATGGCTCTCATCGCCCTGGGTCAAGTGTTCTGTTCACCCAGGTGCCCTGCCTGCATGCCAGCCGGGGAGGTCATGGGGGCCGAGGGGGGACGCCTCCTGGGTGTCAGCAGGGCTTCGTGGGCAGTGGAATTACAGGTGGCCTTCTTCTTTATATTGTTCTATACTTGTCAGATTTTCTACTGTGGCCGTGTGTACTTAAAGCACCAAAATAAACTTCCTGTTTTCACGAAAGGAGAATTCTTCCCCGCAGGGCATTTCTTGGAGCCTCATTAGCACCACTTGTCTCTGCTGGTCTGCTTTCTGTCTCTCTGGCGAGCGAAGGGGCCAGGTGGCAGAGGCACCCATGAGATGTGGCAGAAAGGGGGTGCATTAGGTAGAAGGGTGGAGAAGGGGAAGCTGAAACTGTTGTCGCTCACTCGTGTCCAACTCTTTGCAACCCCATGGACTTAGCCCACCAGGCTCCTCTGTCCATGGGATATTCCAGGCAAGAACACTGGAATATTGCCACGCCCTTCTCCAGGGGATCTTCCCAACCCAGGGATCGCACCCAGGTCTCCCACATTGCAGAAGTATACTTTATCATCTGAGCCACCAGGGAACAAGCCACAAGGGAGAAGGAGAAAGGGAGCTATTAAAGGGCCTGGCTCTTCACCACAACCAGGAGAACGAAGGTGTGAACTGGCCTCAGCTCCACCTGCAGCTGGAAAGTGGTGAGGAGGGCGGGGGTTCCATGTGGGCAGGGCCTGGCCTGGAGGTCATTCCAAGAACACGCAACACACGGGACTCAGCTCAGATTTCATAAGGAAAATCTCTTGAGGGCAGGATTTTTCCCTTAAGGGACTTTTGGCAGTATCTGGAGCTGTTTTGAAATGTTTGGTTGTTACAACTGTAGGATGCTATTGGTATCTAGTGTGTGGGGATGTTTTTTAAACATCCTACAATGCACAGGACAATGCCCAGAACAAAGAATTATCTGGTCTAAAATGCCAGTTGTGCCAAGGTTGAGAAATCCTGCGTTAGACTCATCCTGGAAATTTTGTAGCAGAGACTAATTTCTTTGACACAAAACTTTGTCTCTTATTAAAACAAATAGCACTCACCCCGCAAGAAAGAATTTTTATACTAAGCAGAAGACTCTCCTAGGGTGACCGTTGAAGATGCTGATTCCTGTGTCCTACCCCCAAGGCTTAGCGTTTACTATTTCAGGGACACAGCCTGGGAACTGCATTTGTAACAAGCTCCCTTAGAGACTGTGATACACTTGGGCCCAGATGGACTTTCAGGAGCACTACCTCACCAGTCACCTCAGGGAGGACTCATCCCCATCCTTAGTAAGATCCAGGATTGATCTTGGCTTTACTCTTTGTGTCCAGACTAATGGTGGACTCCTGGGTCCCACGCAAGAAGCTGGGAGCTTGCTGGCCATCCAAGGGGAGTGGGTCTAGAACTTAGCAGATAGAAGACTCTTTGGCCTGGAATTCAGTAAGTTGTTCATGTTGCCAAGGTGGTCTGTACTGGGACATTTTGCCCTGAAACAGATGATGTGTGAGTGAATAATGATGGTTACAAGTCCTTGGGGACCCCCGAGAGATAACTTTCCTTTAATTACATGCCACCCACTGCCTGCATCACCAAGCAATGGAAGGGCCAGGATTCCATTCCTTAGAGCCCCATCTCTGCAGGGTGAGCAAGGACTCCAAACCCAGTCCCCGGGGACTTTTCAGGACTCCTGTTTCCCCCACTTCTCTCTTCTCCCCTTGCCTCCATCACAGCACAGGTTCCCTTCAGGGTCTTGGGATCCCCATTGCTGGGGCAATTCTGCCTCATTTCCCCTGCCTCCAACACCCCAGCAAGGATCTTCTCTGAATAAGACTGTCTCTTATTACCAGATTCCAAGTAAGCCTCTGTCAGGGCTGAGCACACAGAAATCTGGGCACCCCAGACGGGCTCCACTGCGGTTGGGTGGGAGGGGGGTGCCGCTGGGGGAGGGGGTGCAGCCTGGCCTGGGGAGTTGCATCACTGGCGTCTACAGGACACACACATTCCTGGAGCCCAAAGCCTGCTGCCCCATTTATCCCTTCTCCCACATTTGCTTGTCATGTCATGTTCACTTTAAGGGTTTATATCCTCTTAACAAGACTCAGCCAGGATGCACCTCTGCCAAGAAGCCTTCCCTTCTGGGGTCCAGTAGAGCTTAGTGCACACCTTGTAACTGCCGGGTTTTTAAAAATATTTTTATGGTACTTATTTGGCTGCACCAAGTCTTAGCTGTGTGCATGCAGGATCTTTGACCTTTGTTGCGGCACTAAGGATCCTTCAGTTGTGGTATGTGGCATCTAGTTCCCCGATCCGAGATTGAACCTGCAGCCCCCCACCGCCCTGCCCACCCCCCATGCATTGGGAACTCAGGGTCTTAGTCTTCCACTGGACCACCAGGGAAACCCTGTAATTGCCTTTTGATGAGGTTGTCTCCTCCGAACATGAAAGCAGACGCTCATCTAGGGTGGCCAAACTTGCCAAACTTTCTGGGTTTTACACCAAAACACTCGCATCCCAGGAAACCCCTCAGTCCTAATCAGACCTGAGGGACAGAGCTGCACCAGCCTCCGAGGCGAGGACCCCTCCCAGCAGACCCTGGGTCTAGTGGGGAGGTCACGCATCACCCTGGAACGAAGCAGGAGGAAAGGAGCCATGACCTATACCCACGAGTGTGAAAGTGAAAAGTGTTAGCCGCTCAGTCATGCCTGACTCTTTGTGACCCTCTGGACTGTAGCTCACCAGGCTCATCTGTCCATGGGATTCTCCAGGCAAGAACACTGGAGTGGGTTGCCATGCCCTTCTCCGGGGGAATCTTCCCAACCCAGGGGCTGAACCTGGCGTTGGGAATTGCTGGCGATTCTTTACTGTCTGAGCCGGCAGGGAAGTCCTAGGAGAACTGAAGGTAAAGGAAAGGTGATGGGAGAGCGGGTGGGGCTGGGTTCTTAAGCATACAGGTTCAAGTTCAACCTCTCAGAGGGGCCGCTTAGTTCCTGGCCTATGCTAGGTGGTGTTGGTGTAATTCGTGAAGTCCTTCCCCAAATCTAAGTTCCTCCAGCGAGCTGCAGCCCCTCCACAGTCCCCTAGGGGGAGCACAGTCAGGCCCTCCTCCGTGTGTTCCCGGCTGCCCAGGCCTCCCCCTGCAGCTGGTGCAGAGCCGGCTCCAGGCCCATAACCGGGATGAAGAGGCTTAAAAGTGTAAAGGCTGGAAGCAAGGCCCTGGAGCAGGGAATCTCCTTCTCCATTTGAAAGACCACTAAGTATAGAACGTCCCATAATGGAGATGAGTGGAGCTGACTGGCCCACAGAAGAGCTGGCGGAGGGGTCTGACCAGCAAGCCAGCTCCCAGAGGTGGGGTCATGCAGAGGGCACCCTGCCCTCGTCCCAGCCTGGACAGATGACCCCCAGACTCAGACACCCCGTGTCCTTCAGGCTTCTGCTCACCACCTTATAAGCTTCTGGAGAAAAACTAAGGGTCTGAATAAAGCAGCCTCACCCTCTACACTGACTTCCTTCAAAAGGCCACTCCTCAAAGCCTCTGGGGCTCTGTCATGAGAGAGAGGCTTCTGGGGGACAGCGGCTTCCAGGCCTCACACAGGCCTGCAGATGCACAGGCGAGCAGGCTGCCCCACGGCCGGTGGGGAAGCCGTCCAGGCAGAGGTTGGTCCTGCTGGCCTCCGTCCGGGGCAGCGGAGGTAGGCACTGCCCTGAGGCTGCGGTGTGCTGCTCCCCTCTTATGCTTCATTTCACTGTCAGCCCAGCATATGTGGTGTCAGCTCACAGTGCAGACTCAGCTCTCTCCCCTCGGCTCGTGGCCAGGCAAGCTGCTCCGAGACATTCCCAGCAGCAAGTGCAAGGACTTCACATCCGGAGGGCAGCCCTCCACCAGCAGGGCTGAAACCAGTAGACCAATCCTACCTGCTGAGGGCCATTCTTCAAGGGTCCTAGGAGATGCTGAGCCCCAGCCATGCACGGTGGGAATCCACTCCATAACACATTCTTTTTTTTTCTGCCGCACTGTGAAGCATTCTGGATCTTAGTTCCCTGACCAGGGATCAAACCCACGCTTGCACTGTCGCAAGTCCAGTCTTAACCACTGGACCGCTATGGAAGTCCTCCATAATGCATTCTTGAACTGTCTGAACCCATGGATCATTTCTAAAACGTGGGTCCCTGCATACAAGCCCCTGTTCCGTTTTTGCTTTTGGGGGAGAACCCTGGTTAAGATAAAATTTACTTCCTAAGACGTTAACACAATCCCCTTATGCCAAACTTAGGTTTACTAACTACATCTGACCATTGTATAGCACTTTACAGTTTATGAACCTCTCATTCCAGTGACCATGGCTTACAACTCACTCCCAGAACTTAGTGGCACGAACTGGCTATTTCTGGTGCTCAGAGATTGTGTGTGAGGAATTCTGACAGCGCGCAGCGGGCCACAGGGCCGTGGTGAGCCTGGCTGCCGGCAGGAGCTCCAGTCCTGTCCATGCGTAACTTCTCACAGCGCGGTGGCCAGGTTGTGCCTCCTTTTATTGCCCAGCCTCAGCACCAGGCAGTGTGACTTCTACTTGCCGAGGCAGACACAGAGTTCCACCCTGGTTCCCGGGGCAATGGGCCATTTTGGGAAAATACAATCTGCGATCATTTCTCCCATGTGATCTCATTAGATTCTCGGAGATGAGATGGTATCTTGCTTTTGGTTTGCAGCACTTAGCTTGGTGCCTGGCAAGCACGTAAGTTACATTGTGGAGTAAATCATCTTGTGGAGAGATAGGGTTTAGCATCAGACTGATCTGGTTTGAATCCTGGTTTCGTGACTTCCTACCTGTATGATCCTGGAGGAGTTATTCAGCTTCTCTGAGCCTCAGTTTCCTAACCTTTAAAATGGGGGGTGGGGTGGGGTGGGGTCAAAATACCCATTTCACAAGGCTGGTGCTAGGATTAGGCTTGATTGTATATGTGCATGAGGTGTGCACGTATGTGAGAGTGGACTCCTGACCCTGGGTAGTGTCACTTTTTTGCCCCGTGTCCATCCCCTTCTACCCCCACCTTAAGGATGGATGGCTTCTTGGACTTTCCAGAAGGATCATGGACCAAGGTGAGAGAAACCTTTAGTTGTGTGTCTGGGGTTTTGGGAACAGGCTGGGGTTGAAGAAGTCAGGGTGACCAGCTATAGCACTTTCTGTCTCTCTCTCCCC